TAAAAGGCAGCTGAGAAGACTGGCTGCATGTTGTGTGTGTTGTTCACTGCTTAAACTCCTTTATATGCAGCAAATATTTAGGCATAAATTAAAGTTTATTGGCATTTCAGAAAGGAGACTATTATCTTAATAAGCCCCAGACTGGCTAATGTTCTAAAAGAACAGAAAGATAGTCAGAATTAAAGGTGCATGTGTTACATGGTATGGATTTATTGTGCTACGACTCGGTACTTGAGGCATAACTAGGTCTCAAAAAATTAGCATTCTTCATTGCACTACCTACCTCACTGTTAAGCATGGATGAGAGTCTCAAAAAATTAGAATGATGGACATATACATAAAATGCTAAAGTAAAATTTAAATCCTATTTTTGTATGTATACTAACAATTTACCTGCTTATTTAAACACTTTAGTTTCTCGATAGGATAGGAGAAAAAATATCTTCACAATTGGTTTTTCTTTAAAAGGTCATGAATTCAGGTATTTAGTATACTTACAATTTGAGAGTTTTATTAGGTAAATTTGTTAGTTTCATGAGAAATATATGACCTCATAATATATTTGCAAGAAGGACTCTAGTTTTTATACACTTCATAGGTTTGAAAATTATTTTTTGTGCAATAAAAACTTCCTAGCTCCGTCCTTGTTGTCAAGTGCTATATGCCTTAAAGGAAATTTCAGCTGCATTGGATATGTGAAACATTCAATCAATCCTTGAGCATTTTGTGGGTTAGTTCCATTCTTAATCATGTCTGCTTGTGACCCTTCCATATTAAGTGATGGTACTTTTAATTAGAGAAGAAAGACATAGTGGTACAAGGATCCCCCTCAAACAGATGGACTTGTTTTAGTTAATATGCAGCAGTCATTTTTGAAGATATAACTGCATTTGAAGGATCCAGTCCATTAGTAGATTCATTTTAGTTAATTTAAATCTCAAAATCCCAACCGTACAACCCTTCTGTGCTCTTCTTCCACACTGCTTGGCAAAAATATCACCGGTGTTATTGCTGATGCTGAATTACTTATATTGGGAATCCATCCCCCAAATTATTTAACCATCCCTTCTTTCAGGTTTTCTTGGTATCATTTGCATGCTTGCGCTATCACTGCTCAAGGACTTGCATCTTGCTTTCGTCATGATGTCCCTAATGGCAGGAAGTGCAGGGGTTGCCATAGCAGATGTGACTATTGATGCCTGTGTGACAGAGAACAGTATAAGTCATCCTTCTCTTGCTGGTGACATGCAGAGCTTGTGTGGAGTCAGCTCTTCTATTGGGGCTATAATTGGATTCACAATTAGCGGCTTTCTTGTTCACCTAATTGGGCCTAAGGTTGCCTTCTGCTCCTGTTCTTTAGAATATATACATAACAATGACCTGTATATCAGAGGACTGGTGATTTTAATTCTTTATACGCTCACTTCTGAATTTATATGGATATAGACCAGATCGCATGTGGATAACTTCCTCTGAATCTGATCCGGATGTACACAAGTGCAACTTGAATTCAAGGGCTAATCAAAGTCTCTTTCCTGGCAGGGTGTTTTTGGGCTGCTAATTATCCCAGCCGGGCTGGTCATTTTGGTTGGAATGATGCTTCAAGAATCTCTTGTCCTCAACTTTACCTACAAGCGGGTAATGTTTGCTTTATTTTTAGAATGCTTTATGTTTTCCCTTCTCTTTATGCTTGCATAAACGTTTAGGTTTCTGTGACAGGTGACCCAAAAGTTTGTGGATACTGGTAAGGCTATGTGGATGGCACTGAAATGCCGGGATGTTTGGAGGCCATGTTTATACATGTACCTGTCACTTGCGTTGAGTTTGAGCATTCATGAGGGAATGTTCTATTGGTATACAGATGCAAAATCAGGCCCATCTTTCTCACAGGTATATATATATATATTTTTTAATATTCACCATTTCACCTTACATTCTGAGATATTTGAAGTTATATTGGCTTACTGCATTTTGTGTGCTCTGACTCAACTTTATCACCTGCAATGCAGTGATTTCATAAAATAAATTATCACTACATGAATGCACGGTATGTAGTTCTTGAATTTGTAGAGGTGCTTCGAATCGCATTTTTTTCCCTTCTTGTGCATTGATATACCATGTCGACATTTTTTATTTGTTTAATACTCAGAGTCACATATTATTACATATTTCTTGCTTAGAGTTATTTTTACCACCAAATTATCCCCAAATTTTGATTTCTGATAACCTAACAAAATCTTTCCCAAAAATAGTAAGTTTCACAGATGTGTAGTGTAGTACTTGTAATTATGGATGATTCATCTCATGGTTGTAACGTCAACGTTCACATGGTTTACGCAGGAGGTTATTGGGTCCATATCATCTGTGGGTGCAATTGGTTCCCTTTTGGGAGTTCTTCTATATCAAAATGTTTTTAGAAACCATCCTTTTCGTCGTGTACTATTCTGGAGTCAGTTGCTGTTTGGTGCTTCAGGGATGCTGGATTTGATATTAGTCTCTCGGGTAAACTTGAGATTTGGTGTGCCAGATTATTTTGTTGCCGTGATTGATGCAGCCATTTCATATATGATTGGGCGTCTCAAATGGATGCCTCTTCTCGTACTTAGTTCCAAGCTTTGCCCCTCCGGAATAGAAGGCACTTTCTTTGCTTTGCTCATGTCAATTGATCATGTTGGGATGCTCACATCCTCGTGGGTCGGAGGCCTCTTAATCCACGCCTTGAACATTACGCGAACACAATTTGACAACCTTTGGGTGGCAGTTGTAATCAGGAGCCTTTCAAGAATTCTTCCAATTGGGCTTCTATTTTTGGTGCCTAGTGGTGATCCCAATGTGTCTATTCTTCCAAATGAGATGTTGAGGGCAAAAAAGGCGATGATAGGCTGGAGCCTGATAATACGGAGATGGTCTCCCTTATCAACAACATTTGACCAGATACTAGCTAACAGTTTGCAACTAAAAGAGGGGCCGAGTGCACAAGACTTCTGCCACAACAATGTTCGATGGAAAATGCCGATCTCGGGGAGATGGCTCGGTAGTTTTGAGAAGTCATTCTTCCTAAGATTTACTTCCAAGCCCCATATCAGATACCATCATCTATATGAACATCCAGTAATTTTGGTTTCCAGGAATTTGTAGTATTGAGGCATCTTGGTTTTGGCTCTGTTAAATTTAGCTCAAGCAAAGCAAGTGGCATCATTTTCTAGCTGGATTCCTGGTGAAATTTTATAAATGTGAATGCTAAGAGTAATTTAAGTGGTACGAGAGATGAACCGTAAATTTAGATTACATTACATGAATTTCAATCTTAATAATTTTTTAAAATTAAGTCATGAGAGATTTTTTCTCTCATAATTTTTTTAGTCTTAATGTGAATGACTTGTTTTTGATTAAATCGAAGAGAAAATTAGTTGCTCTTTTGACTATTGAACAAAAAAGTAAAAAAAATTACACATATACCGGCCAAATTATGGTGTTTTGCCCACACAAACAAGCAAACACCGAGTGTTAGATCGGTTGGTGAGGGACTGTTTTAACTTAATTAAAGTCTTGGATTTGAGTTTTGGGAATGTAACTTTGCTCAGTAGAAAGAGTTTTGTCGTCTTTATGATTCTATCTAACTCGAATCTGAATTAATCAAAGTCGAAAATAATTTTTGAATACCGGAGGATGTGACCATAAAAGACAAGCAGACACATCATCTTGTATCTTATTGCAGCCGAAATATCGATGGGTCAATGTCACTGTCACAGCCGAAATGAATTATTAGAGATCAGTATACCCACTAAGACGATGTTATCTAAACTTATATTTCTAATAATTGTAATAAAATTTGACCTGTTAAACTCCTTAATTTTTTCGGTGATATGAATGTATGTATTTAAGTAATTGTTATTTTCTAAGACCAATGAAAAACACACAATTTTTGTTTTTCTTAATTTTCATTAATGGGTAGAGTTTAAATCGACTCAAATTTTAAGACATAAATTTTTTTTAATATACTCAAATTTTAATATTTTAAAAAAATAAATTTTAATTAGCTAAAATCAAATTTTAATATGTAAAAAAATAAATTTTAATCAGATCAAATTTTAATATGCAAAAAAATAAATTTTAATCGGCTCGAATTTTATGTAGAAAGATTGTTTGAGGTTTATGTAGGAGTAATTTTAGTATTTTAGATAATTTTTTTTTTGTTAGAAATAATTGTTTAATGGTAAGGGGTATGAATAATGTTTATATATAAACTAAAAGGAATATTAATGATGTTTTGAATGATAGAAAGAATGTCTTTAAAGATATAATAAATTAGAAGATAAGTAACTAAAATTTTCCCTTTCATTAACAAATCTTATCTTGCTCATGAAATACATTGGATTCTATATTTAAAGTAATATATATATATATTGATGTAGATGAATTATTATCATGTAAAATCAATTAGTGTTTTAATTATTTCCTTATTGGAGGGGAGTCTTTGTGTATAAAAATTGGATCTAGCCCCTCTGCTGCTAGTTTTTTAACAGTAGAGATTATGTCCTTTAAAATAACGTCGTTTTACGCTAAAAACGGTAGTAGAGGATTTAGAGTCATAAAAATTTGAGCTAAATCAAATTTCATGATATTTTTCTTAACTTTCCAAAGTTTGTAACAATTAACATTAAAAAACATTTACTTAGTTTCCAAATTCTAATTCATTCAATTAATAAAGAGTTTTTTTTTTGCCAAGTAATAAATATTCAATAATAATATAATTTAGACTTAATTTATTGGTCTAATTTACGAATCTAATCACCCATTGTCATTAGAATGAAAATGAGTTTCAATAATTCTAATGAATTAAACTAATAAATTATATCAATTAATTAGGTTTATATTGAATACTTAATGGTACTATTTGAATGATTGCATCATCACATAATGGAAAAAACCTACGATAAAATATAATTATTAATTAGCAATCAATATCACAAGTTAAATAAAAAATCTTAAAATAGGGCGCGTGTGTATCACGCCTTATAGTATTTTGAAGAGGCACGCGTGTTTATGCCATACAACTGAAAGCCGACAAGACACAATTATGCAAACATTATCCACAAAGCCTTATATTCTTACGTGTCTACTACTCTACGGATCCTGCCACGTGTGCATAGACCAATACCAGCCGCCCACATGCACCGAGAACCTTCACGATTGTGGCCTCACACTTTATCCATAGCGTTAAATTTGAAGAAGTTGACATAAATTAATTAGAACGGATTAAAAATAACTTTTATACAATATAAATTACTAGTTATTGTCTATACTTGAAGACACAAAATAATAAATAATAATAAATAATAAATATAATTGTATTCATATCTAAAATCAAATCATAAATATATAGGGGTGCAAGGTGGTGAACGACAATAGTGATAGGAGACAGTGATGGTTGTGGTATGTGACAATGACTGTGGTGACGACGAGGGTGACTGTGATGGTGGTGGTGGAGACGGCAACGATGGTGGTGGCGACAACGACGATGGAAGTGGTGGTGGCGATGGGAGTGGTGACTATGGTGGTGAGGTGGGGGTGAGGGTAATGGTGGCGACGACGACGACTGCGGCGATGGCGGCAGTTGCGGTGGTGATGTTGGTGGTAGTAGAGGTAGTGGCAGGACGATTTCAAACACTATTTTTTTAAAGTATTTATGAGAAATAATTTCTAAAAATAATTTTAAAAAGTTATTCCAAACACACTCTTATGTCCTTATTTTTTCTATTAAATTAAAGATGTTAATATTAGCCGTTAGATTAACTTTAAAATAAAATTTAAAATGATCTCAACCGCGAATAGTAAAAGTCATTTTATTTATTTTTTGAAATTTGAATTTTAAGTTACTTTATTATATAGATTAGACACGATATAAATTTAATTCTCCAACTATATAAATATATTGAGTATATAAATTAAATAAATTTTAATATAAGATAATTTATACAATATAAAAACACAACATAATACAATTTAATAACAGATTTGCTCGTTTCTTACATTAATGTGTTAGGTAATAGTTACTTATAACAAGTCCTATTTCAATTTGAGCTTTGGACTATCAAAAAATAAAATTCTTGCTTTTTTTTTTTCCTCTGGCTTACGAAGGTTGTGGAGCCTTCGGCTATGAAAGGAGATGGTTTTTTGGCTTCCTTAGGGCTGTGTGAAGCTTAGCTTTACAACCACGTAATGTAATTAATTAAATTCATGGTAAGTGTAGGAGTTGGGCGAAGCAATAACGAAGTTCAAGAAGTAATGCAAGTTTGCGGTGAGCATAGTGACTCCCTTGGACATGCTGCTTGTATAACTCAGTGAAGTGTTAGTGAGGACTAGAATGGAATGTTGTATATGGTGTAGAATTAGATCTGAAGCTCTTTACTAGGATTGAAACAAGCTAGGAACGAGTGACTTCGCTTAAGCATTTAACATTCAGTTAACATAAACTACATGTTCATCATGTGACTAAGTGAAACGCACCTATGTGAGGTAGCTTAACATCACTTTAGATCGAAACAGAATGAATGACTTATAACTGAAAGTTAGTTCTTTAAGTTTATATATTATACGACGTAATAAATATCTTAATCTAGATCCGATAATTCGCAAAGAGATTTCACCCTCCCCAAAAACACGAATTCATAGCTTTTTATATCTTTTTATTAACAAATTATTTATAATTAATGGTGAGAGACTAACTTATATACGATGAGTACTATTTAAATTTATGATAGAAAATCTATTAAAAAAATAATTGAATAAAAAAAACATATTAAATGCGATCTCACTCCCAAGAACACAGCACGGTCTATTAATTTGTTTTTTTTTTTCTAACCCAAAAAAAAAAAAAATATCCTTCAGCCGTTCCGTGAATTGACTAAATTGCCCTCGGGTCAAGACGCGGTTAGTTTCCAGCACGTGAGTCAAAATACAACTGCTATAAAGCGCGTGAATCGTCCGCCGTCTCTCATTGGGTTGCGAGGTGGGCCGGGGGGAGGGGAGTGGTTATTTTTGTCTGGTAGCAGGCAAGGACACAGAGCTTTCTTCTTCTTAAGTCTAATCTAATCTAGGGACGGCTGTGTCTTTCAGCGAAATTCTCCGAGTTGACTCACTGAGCGTAGGCTTTCTTTTTAGGGTTAGGTTTTGTTGAGGTTTTGATTTGATGGTTCAGTTGATGAAAGGTGGCAAGGTGTTGCCTGAATCTGAGTTTCAGCGAGGGAAAATGATGCCGGTGAAGCTTGAGGTTGAGGATCCCTTGGAGGATCAACATGGCCCCCTCAATAAACGATCTAAGCTCTCCTCTTCTCTCCTGGTTTGATCTCTCTCACCCCCTCTTTCTCATAGATTTGTATATATTCGTGGATATATGTGTAAACATTTTAGGGATTGATGATTTCTGGTACTGATTTATGTATTTGGAATGGATTTTCCTTTTGAAAATTTTGTTCTGCAAAAGTGATTTTGAATTGTTGGGATGAGGCTTTGAAAGCGATTTAGAATTTTTTCGGTTTCGTTTGTTCCGTTGGTTTGATGGGAAGATTTATTTTGGTGAATTTCTTGGTAATGATTTTTGGGGTTTTATCACTTTTTTTTCCCTATACTTAGATTCATATTAGTAGTGCATAGGTGGGGTATTAGCTTGTATGACTGTAATTGATTATTTTGATTTTGGTTGTTATAAAACAGAGGCAGCAGAACATGGAAATGGGTTCTTTTCCGGTACCACCAGCGCAATACAACCCACTTGATGAGCCAAGTCCATTGGGATTGCGGCTCAGGAAGAGCCCGTCGCTTTTGGATTTGATCCAAATGAAGCTTTCTCAAACAAATTCTTCTAAGGTTGGAACGCATGGTAAAAAGGATCACAAAGGGACTGCGGCTTCTAATACTACTGATAAGCTCAAGGCTTCAAATTTTCCTGCTTCGCTTCTCAGAATTGGGACATGGGAGGTATAATTGCTATTACTTTTGACAAAAATCTGTTAACTGAGGTGCATTTGATATTCTTTGTTGTATAAAAGTTGATGTTAATCTGGACTTTTGTTGGTTTGTAGTACAAATCAAGATATGAAGGGGACTTAGTGGCGAAATGTTACTTCGCCAAGCATAAGCTGGTGTGGGAAGTTCTTGATGGTGGTCTCAAGAATAAGATAGAAATTCAGTGGTCTGACATTATAGCTCTGAAGGCCAATTACCCGGATGACGCACCCGGAACTTTAGATGTAGTGGTATGTCCTTCATTCGTGTTCAGTCTTGTTTACTATGTTAGCCTACTGCAGGGCAACAGCTGCTGCTATTATTATGATTATGTTGATGATGATTATAACCGAGTGTCATTCTTCTTTGGTGCAGCTCACAAGACAACCTCTTTTCTACAGGGAGACCAATCCCCAACCCAGGAAGCATACTCTATGGCAGGCAACATCAGATTTTACTGGTGGACAGGCGAGCATACACAGGTACTCTACATTAGCTTCTAGTCATTGGTGAGTTGGTATAAGCTACAAATAAAGAGATAGCTGTTCAACACTGATGCTATCTTGAGTAATTTTCGTTGAAAATGTTTCTTCCTCCGTAACACATCTTTAAACACTAATGATGCAAGCCAATTAAATCTTTTTTATTTCCGTACATAAGCCTTCAAAATTGCATTACCTATATAGTTTGTTCACCAGAGATGCAGCTATTGCCAGTGACTCCAGTCCCTTTGTTCTAAATATGAATTTTGGTCTCTCATTTTCTATTTGGTTTCTCTTCCCCTTAAATCTTAATGCATTCTGACGATGCAAATTTTAAATTTGATACAGGCGACATTATCTGCAGTGTCCTCAAGGGTTGTTAGGAAAGCATTTTGAAAAGCTTATTCAATGTGATCCTCGTCTAAACTTTCTTAGTCAACAAGGGGAGATAGCATTAGATTCTCCATATTTTGAACCCAGGATATCTGCATTTGACGATTCAAATGAAATCAACAATGAGTTTGATTTGAATAATGAGGAAGGTCGCACCTTCTTCAACTTGCAGGGTGGATCCTCACCATCAGGGGCTCAATCTTCCTCTTCCCAGCATGTTCTCCGAGAAACACCTTCACCCAGCTCAGGTGAAAATATGAACTTGGAATTAACTATACTGAATGCTGTGATAATTAATCTACTGTGTTTTATAAAACTCCATGCTTTCTAAAGATTAGCTATTACATCAAACTTATCGAAAGTTGATTTTTTTTTTCTTATCCTTCTTACTGGAATGGGGACTGGATATGCAGAGTCAAAGAGTCATGTTCAGATTTTCTTTTTGATGATTGACAGGGATATCATACAAATAATAATCTTTGTATTTAATAAATTTGCAACGCAATGGTAACATCATGGAGCACTTTAGAAAGGTCAGTTTTGAGGGAATAATTTCCAGCAATAACATTCACTCAGGACCTCAGTAAGAGTTTTTCCCCTTTTATTAAGATTTAAGAACCAATGGTCAGTCAAAATATCTCATTTACATGAAAGTTGCATAAGCTGCAAGGATCAGTAGACTATTCCTGGTGACAGTCCTTCTAGTGATGGTTCATTTCTGTAAAACATCTCCCAGTATGTCTATGAAGGGTTGGGAGTGCAGAGATGTTTGCTCATGCTGTGTATTACAATAAATGGCACATTGATATTGCTGCCATTGATGACATTGTAAATTCTGGGAAATACACTGATCTCACTCTGTAGTCAGGGTTTTCAAGTTCTTTTCTTTTGGTTCGTCTGAAGGTGTTAGTTTTTTATTTTCATTTCTTGCTCATCATCACATGGATTCCTGTCCAAGTGTAGACAGTAAAAACAATGCTAGCCTTTTTCTTTGTTTCTTACTATATTGCCATGCCTTGAGGGAGGCTGGGGTATTTACTATTTTTGAGAAAACTTTCCTAAATGTACAATTGTTTTTCTTTCTTTTTTGTTGTATTTTTTAAATTGAATCTCAATTTTTGTCGCTATAACTTGTCATTCTCATTACAGCGATGGACTCCTGTTCAATTGATGAGATCAGGAACAGTGGACTTGAAGAATTGAAGGGGTTCAGCGGTTGGGATCAGATCAAAGTGCCTGGGCTCCACCCCTCTATGTCAATGAGTGACCTGGTAAGCCACCTTGAGCATCGGATTTCAGAACAGAGAACATCCAACAACTCTATGGTTTCCATCGAGGAAAGACAAAGCTTGGATATTCTGGAGGATATCAGCCGATGCTTGTTCAGCGACTCCCAGCATATGTCCGCCTCTGATGAAAAATCCCTAATGTCTAGGGTCAACTCTCTTTGCTGCCTTCTGCAGAAAGATTCGCTGATAGTTAAAAATGTACCGGCTACTAAAACCGATGATGGTCTTGATGTAACAATGGTGGAGAAGAAAATGGGTGGACCAAGTACTGTTTCTGTTTCAGCGGGTGGAATCAAGGTTGCAGAAGATTGTCCCGTGCCAGAGGGTGAGTCGAACGATCTCTCTGGTTGCAAGCAGGCACCATCCATGTCCAGGAAGGACTCAGTTGGGGAGCTGCTGCTTAATCTTCCTAGGATAGCATCTCTACCACAGTTCTTGTTTCACATCTCGGAAGATTTTGACAACCAAGCTAGATAGTGTCTCCGAATGCCTAACCGATCATATTATGTGCAAAGGTGTCCTAGAGGTTATTTCTGTCAACATGTACATATTAGAGTGGTAGGTTCTTCAGTTTTATGTCGTACTTAAAATGTTTGTGGTTCGTCGTAGTTGGTTTTGAACACTACCTTTTTGTAAATATATGATGTCTTGTGTTGGCTTCCATTGCTTGTTAAGTACAACTGCCAATATTTTTGGCAATGACCAAGAGTATTTGGTCTAATGGTACTCATTGCCTTGTAAAAATTTTGTCTTCTTGTGGTCAAAGGTTCAAACCCCAACTACCTACCCCCACAGAAAAAAAAAAAAAAAAACTAGAAAAATAAATCTTTTTGGCAATGACTAAGCAGATTTTTCTGGAAAATCCGAGGTTGCAATGGCACATCTGAGTTTGTTTGAGGTTGAGGTGTTGAGGTTTCTGGAAAATCTAAATACATGTGAGTTTGGTTCATGACAAAAATAAGGGAAAATAGGCCATATTTCCCAGGATGAGCCACACATAGGCAATGAAGTATGGGTTTGACGAAGGAAAATAAAAAAAATGGATTAATTACACTGGGGTCCCCAAAGTATGAGTTTTGTCTTATTTTGGTTTCCAATATTTTAATAGCATCATTTTAGCCCATTAAGTATTGAATATATTTTTATGTGATTCATCAAGAAGACAGTGTCTAGATTGTTAATAATTTTTAATTGCAAATTTTTCATGTAATACCTTATTATAGGTAAAAAAATAATTTGAATAACTCTTGATCAAATTTCTACTCAAATTTTAGTCAAAGTGCTATCCAAATTTTAGTCAAGAACTATCCATATTATACATTTTTTATCAAGAGTTATTCATATTATACATTTTTGGTCAAGAGCTCCTCAAATTTTGGTAAAGAACTACCCAAATTATTTTTTTCCCATATTTAGATATCACGTGATAAATTTATGATAAAAAACTATTAACAATTTGGATGTTATCTACGTGGGGGATCACATAAAAATATATTCAATACTTCAGAGACTAAAATGATGCAATTAAAATATTAAACCTTAACCCTAAAAAAGTACAATACTTGTAGTAGAATATAAACAGGGCCACATTGAGGAGTCATACACTTTTCACAAGCAAGAGAGAAGAGGAGGAGGAGGAGGAGGGGAGGGGGGGGGGGTTAACAATTTGCTACAAAATATATGGTCAACATTTAACATATTAAAAGAAAATCACTCAAATTACAAATTATTCACATCATATGGACAGTATTTTCTGCAACAATACATTTAATAGAACTGGCAAATATATTTATATGTATTAGTTCTGTACTTTTTTACTTCCCAAACAAATCTACAAAAGAATAAACAACCTACGGCTCTCCAGTGCCTTCATCATCATTCATCGCCTCATTCTCCTCCATCATATTCATCAGCATACCTATTTGGTTTTGCAGCATTGCATTTTGTCTCTGTACGTCGGCACGTTTACTCCTTTCTTCAAGAAGTTGGAGTTGCAGATGCTCTAGGCATCGGGCATCCTCTTCTAACTGCTCATTTAGCCCATCAATCTCCCTGTCCTGCAAGCACTATGAATTCATGCTTTATTTCTATCACATCACCTCTCTTTTTCTCTGTTTCTCTCTTTCACACACACGCACACACAAACAAACAGTTAAAGGAGCCAAGTGTTGCAGAACTGTACCTTTCTGTTCATTTCCTGTACAGCAATTCTACGCATGCTCTCAACAACATCCACATTTACGAGCTTTCGTTTCTTCCCAATCAGCCAGCCCCGGGGATAACTTGCAGATTCAAAGTCTGGTGGGGGGAGTAAGGATTCAGCTGATGGTCGCCCGCCATTTACAAAATTTTTGGGTCCCAATGGTTCAAAGAGAGCTTTCCGCTTCTCAGAAAGAATAGAAACAGTTGTTGAATCCTGCTGCTTTTCTTCAGTGGGAACTTCTTCCTGCTTTTCAGGTGTTTTATCTGTGGTGTCATCTATTACCTTGTCCAAGTTCTTCATACCGGCTGCTTTAAGAAGCAAGTCATTCGTTTGAAGCCATTTATTTATAAAGTAAGTCCCACACAAAGTAAGAGAAGCACAAAGCTAGCCACTGCTGACTGCCATGCTTTTATGCACTCACACATAATTAATCCCTTTTTGTTTTTGTCCTTTTTTTTTTTTTTTTTTGGGGGGGGGGGGGAACTAGAAAGTAATCTGACTAGCAAAGGGTTGAAGATGTTGCTGGAAGCCTTCAATCTTCAATTAAGAACTAATGAAACAAGGAGAACAAAAAATCACCAAAATGTAAACGTTAAAAAACGTATCAAAGGCCACATAAGTATATTTAGTTGCTTAGTATTAGTCAAGCTCATAGAACAGATTTAGCACTCAACAGATTGGGACATTTCATATGTTCTTGAGCAATATTAAGAGGTAAAATTTATACTTCACAATGCGATACTAGAGGGAAACTATTGCATTATTTAAACCATTACCATGAACATGAATACATTGACTGACATTTCTTTAAGCTTGAATTTTTATAATCTTCTTTTTTTTTTGGGAAAGGGAGGGAGGAGGGGGGAAGGGGGCTTGAACCCCTGACCTCAAGAAGACAAAGCCTTCACAAGGCAATCAATATCATAGGACCCAAGGCCAGTTGGTTTGAATTTTTATAATCTGCTCTAGCTTTCAATTTTGAATAGTTCTTAAAGAATGAAAACACACCAAATTACATAACCAAGACTTGAATGTTTTTCTTGCGTCACGTGTTCATGCTCCATTGTTAGTTACTTTTTCCTTGTCCCTTTTGAATCTTTCATAGGCTTAAGTACATTAAGGTACACTTACTAAGACCAATGAGAAACACTGAGGAGTCAATGAGTATGACACTAAGGAAAAAGGAACAGGCATGCTCACCCAAACATTTTGCTAAATTAGATTCACCGTTTCTGATTATTTAAGATCTAGCATCTAACAGCAAGGAATATATGTAACAAGTAGAGCAGAACAGATCTACTACAGTAAAATGTTTAACGACTAAACATCATATATGAATCAGAATAGAAATACAAACATGTTGGATGAGTCCACCACGACAACGTATTGAGGCGTGGAAGTAATGAGCCAAAAACTCATGTCAAAACCCAAGAAGGCCATAAATTGCAAACTCTATGTCCTAAAAGTGGATTTGGAAAATTTGACATAAGGTGAATAATAATGCTATTTCCACCACGATACTCACCAAAATCCCCTCACCATGTAACTTGCCCATTGCCACCACCGTGAAGAGAACCCTAATGCTAATATTTCAAGCAATGCTATAAGGACCTAATTTTGAGACCTACTTAAAAATCTAATTATGCAGGTATTGAGTCAATTATGACTTCCAAAGTTACATGGAGCACTCTTTTAATCAAACAACAGCGATTTCAAGATTAGATTATCAAATTGGGTCCAAATAGGATTTTTCCTAATATTTCTGTCGGTTTTGGTCATATGCCATGCCACCAGGAGAAGAGACTTTGATGAATGTTCTTGATGGTGATAGCATTACTCTAGAATGAAAAACATAGAATAATGACTCCACCATTTTAAGACGAGGAAATACCTCCACTTAAGGTATAAAGAACAAACTTAGAAAAGTTCCTACAACCCATTTTTTTTTTTTTTAATATACGAGCTGTTCTGGCGAATTCATTGGACTCTGGACCTTGGGCAACGTTGTCACTCCATACAAATGGCAAATCTATAGGCAGTGATCCTGAGAGTTGTACACACTTGTAGACATTCGAACCCTGACGTAGGTCTTGTCACAAAGCTAACCCTTGGGTCAGAATCCTACAACATTTGGCAGAAATAAAATAAAGAAAAAAGATGACTATTCCAAATGGGATGTAAAAGTCAGCAAGGAGGTTGAGTCATTCTGATCCCGACAAGGGGTTGGAAAAACAAAGCCAAAAACAGCTAAAAAACTGATATGCATAAATGGAATAAAATAATAGAGTGATAAACGTGCTCAACTAAAAAATAAATTTGATAAATAATAGAGAAAAAATTATCTTGGGGACACGGAAAAAAGATACCAGACTAATACTGCGAGATTTATGGATGATTATTGCATATCGGGTTTACTTGTAACAATGGTGCAAAGGTTAGTAATTGGAATGGTTCTCTGATATTTCAAAAAAAAAGAAAAAAGAGGGAAAAAAAAAAAAGATATTGCACCGAGAGAGATTTGGTAAGGCAATCCAACCATAACAAATAAAGTAACGTATGAGCAAAGTCACACAAAGTCTTTCATACTTTTCAACGTTCCTTTCTATAGAGAGAGAGAGAGAGAGGGTTTGGTGGGAAGTAATTACAGCAATCATTAGAACTACAGTATAATCAGGTATGCCAAAATTTAGGGGTTAGAGAGAGAATTAGTGATTTCAAAGAGATGGGTGTTGTTAGTCTATCAAACTAAGGAGCTGAATTGAGCTGCATACATCCACAAGAAACATTTCCCAAACTTTCCCAGAGAGATCTGATCTACACCATGCGGCCAGCAACAATTATTCATACTAAACTCAAAACAATTAATTGTTAAACATATACCTTAATGGATACTTCAAAATCACGCACATATCAGTAAATTAACATATATTTTAGAGAGAGAGAGAGTCAAAAGTGGTAAGTACCTGATCTCCTCCTAGATTTCCAGAAAACAGGAGTTGCAGGTACAGGAGAGAAGCCATTCAGAGTGCCCTCAAGCTTCTTATTCGGTTCTTCCATTCCTAACATTCAAGAATTGAGCATCTGCCTCCTATATAGGAACAGAGAGACAGAGAGAGAGAAAATTAGGAAATGAAGAGTTTTTCTTGACGAGGATTATCTTTGATTCTCTCTGAGCCTTGTTCTTGTCGTTGTTGCCGAGAGAGAGAGAGAGAGAGAGAGAGAGAAGGAGATATGATTACACGAGTCTGTTTTAAGGTGACGGAATCATCAAGGTTTTGGACGGACGAGATTTGTCATTACATTTACAGGATGGGGTTTTGATTTTACGGCGGTGGTTGTGGTCTTGTTTTGTGTTGCTGTCTTCGTGGCCCCAACCTCAGACCCCAGTGTAATGACTAATATGAACCCGGTTTTATCCACCATTAACGATAATGCCACCATGGCATGGAATGGAAGAGTGGGAATATTCCCTTTCTTGTCCCGTCACATGTACTTTTCCGACTTACCGAAAAAATAAAATAAAAAAAACATGTACTTTTCCGATTAATATATATATGTATAATAAAATAACCAGAGAATTTTATTTTCATGTATTTTCCCTCTCAAAATATTACATCACTTATTTTTATCACATCTTTAATCATTTAATATTTAGTTAATTTATAATTTAACATAATTTTTATTTCAATATTATCTATACACAATAATATACACATATTAAAATTTTTTTGTCAAATTATGTATTTTGAAAAAATTGTTAATATTTTTAAGAAAATAATGGATAAAAATAAATTTTAAATGATGTAATCAAAGATATGAAGAAAAAAAATTACTATTTAATTTAGTGAGATCGATTTCTTAGGCGTTCAAATTTTATATTTTATCGTGTCTTCAGACACGAGTTATAATTAATAAATTTATATTTATGATAGGTTTATTAATCTCTCAATTTATGAAAACAGTTTATAATATTTTTTTAATCATATTTTGTTTTAAATAAAATTGCGTCATATTTATATCAATTCAACTACTTTATAAGTTTTATAAGTTTAGTAGAAGAGATTAGTAGAAATACGTTTAACTTCTTAATCGTTGAAATAGAAAAACAAATATAGAAACTATTTTCTTTATCGATGAAAAATAACCGAATTCAACTAGCAACCTCAGAGAGGTTCTATCAAGTTTGGCAACAATTCATAACTCCCCAGTTCATGAAGTACTAAGAACCCAATTATAGTCTGTTTCAATTACATTGCGGGCGGGGGGTATTCTGTCTGCTATTCCTCCTTTCAGTAGCATTGATGTTCTAAAGTCCCAGCTCACAGTAACTATAAAAAAAAGCTCACCAATTACGAAAATATGAATTTTAAGGACCATTTTAAAACCAGTGACAAAAATATCAAATAGAAAACTACAGAACAACTATACCAGGAAAGAAAAAAAAAAAAAAAAAAAAAGAATAGATTTAAACTGTACACAACTTCCCTGTTAAGATCAAATTAAGAATAATTTGAATGCAAGTTAAATTTCATAGCTAGAAAGTGCTATCATGTATAACCTTCGGAGACATCCCCCCGCCCCGTCCCGCCTGGCCTGGCCTGCTCTCTAAAATAGGGCGACATCTATCATCCCCACAATTTTTATGTACAGTTACATTAAGTATACCTTGGATCAATAGTTTCTCGCCAAAAGTTCCATTTCTTCTCCCTTCCCCCACTTCCCTTTCTCTTCCTTTCCTAAATGCTGCAAAAATTTAGGTAGTGCGTTTCTTCAAAAATTGCCAAAAATGAAGAGAACTAGAGAAAATTAAGTTTCACCCATGGCACAAGGAATGCAGGGAGGATCTTTAACTTGGTCGTCAGGAGTGATAATCTGCAAGCAATGATCATGAAAAGTGTGACCACAAGGAAGTACAGCAACAGCAGGTGCAACACCGGGCTGGTATACGGGGCCATCTGGTGTGAAAGAAAGATCCCTCTTGCATATCAGGCACTTATGTCCAGTTGGTTGAGGAGGTCGTCCATCTAAACCTGCAAACATCTTCTAACAGTCACTGTTTCTGGTGCGACAATTATGATATCACAGTGCGTGTAAGTATCAGATGGAGTGGTAAGGTCGATGATCTTTTTGAGCTCATGATTGATATTTACAAAAGTTCATTGTAAGCAAAGGCCAGCCTATGCTTATCCAGTATAGCAGGAAATGGGAGATCATGTGCTAGAGGCTGACATTGCTGCAGGATGAGCCTGCATATATCCAGCTTATCATAAGAGGGATATAAGTCCAGGGGGAAATATGCTTGAAACTCAGGTTGCATGGAAAAAAAATAAGTTATCAGGGCCAAGCAGGTTGAAGTTCGGAAATGAGATATTCCTGCAACCGAAGAAAAGACAAATATCTCCACAAGGCTTGCCAAAGAAAGAAGAGCCAATAACCCTGAGTCTGAAATTTTGTGCCAGCATAAATCATCCACAAGGACCACAACACTGTATAGGGCATGTATTCATGGATATGGATAAAACAGATGAGAATATGTCAGACTATAAACCATTTGCTAGAAATCACGTAAAATTTCAGTGCTAACATCAAAGAAGAAACATTCATTGCACTGCAGCACAGTTAATGTGTTTGGAGGAGCCACAGGAGATACCTTGCCATTTTATATGCGCAGCAGCAGGAGCAATAGCAGGTATAGGAATAGGAGCAGCAGACTGGGTCGCATATGGCATAGAAGGATGAATGATTGGTTGAGGTGTTATCTTCCTGCGCTGAACCCAACGAGCAGCTGGAGGGGGTTGGATTGCACCTCTCTTAAAAGATCGTGCACCAAGAACATCAGAAGCCTGAGAAACCCCCTTAGCTTTTGCAACTGGAATTCCTTGCCCTATAAGTCAAAAAAAAAAAAAAAAATTTACTACCACACTCGCAAGAACATGCTCCAGAACAAGCAAGGGCAAGTCAAGGTAGAAGCAAGCATTAAATCATAAATACCAGTAGTGGAAACAGGTCTAAGACAATCCTTAGAAACATGAACAGGCACGGCATCTTGAGATCGACCTTGTTTAAATGAAGACGAACAAAAAATTATATTACACAGAATATTTTATATCGCCATAATCTCAAAGGAATCAAAGTACTGAAAAGGCATTTGTACATACCAGCAGTAGAAGAGGGTCCATGAAGGTCCACAGAAAATTGAGCAGGCACACTGTCATGAGGCCAACCTAGTTTACATTAATACAATCTTATCAGAAATAACTATGGGCAAGACTTCACCATATTCGCAACAAAAAATGCAAAAGGGAACATGTATTACGAAAAAAAGAAGTTGAATAAAGGGTACCAATAGCAATAGGAGGTCTTAGAAGATTTTTAGTAGGCTGAACAGGTCCAGTGCCTTGTGATCGCTGTATATTATCTGAAAATAATACACCGAAAACTATTACAAAGGCAGTAAGGCATAAGATGACTTACATGGTAACCCCATGCCAGCATACCCTATCTCCTGTACAGGCTTTGGACTCAGCTTGAATAACCAAGTCTGTTTGTCACAGGTATGTAGGATAATACGACAATTAATTTAAGCCTTATATCAACGTCATCATCATTGTCATATTCTTCTTTAAGTAATAAGCTGGATGTGACACCATGAACTTGGGAGTTGGGATTTTGATGGCCTTTTACTATGTGGTGCCAACTTGATTTCGTACATGTAATTAAATCAGCCCTCTTTTCATGAAAAATCTCGCCTAGAAGATCAAATTTGAATCTTTTAACAGCTTAGATCAATTTCACCTATATGACTCCACAAAACAAAGTCAAACTTGGCATCCTCATTAATGACCTTAATCTTTGTCAAGAAGAAGAAGAAAAAAAAATGCTTTCTAATTATCATGAGATTGGTCTTAGATGTCAAAATGCCCTTACAAAATGTCTCAAGACCCATCCCCCTAGGAAATGGACCTGCTTCAGCAATTTGAGCAGCAACACTCTCATTAAAGTGAACTCCGAGCCTCTTGGGAAATGGACCACTTGCACCAGCTTGAGCAGCACTACCCTCAGTAACTTGAACCCCAGACCTCTTTGGCACTTGCCTGCCCACAGCAGCTTGAGCATCACTAATCTCATGAGCAGAAAACAACCGTCCTGCGTAAAAAGTGTTCAAGACGATTCACTCAATAGCATCTTAAAATAGTTACCAGCCAATATGATTATTCCCATAGTAGAGATCAACTAAATGAAAAAACATGGAAGCCAAAAAGTAAGAAGGGGTACAACTCAGAGGTCTTTATCACAGTTACGTCTCAGTTTTGTATAAGCCACAATTTAATCCAGTTTCCAGATTTTAGTCCACAAATTTCTGGATGGGATCCCATTGCAAGGTGAGTAAGATAAAAAGATCTATTTTTTTTAACTAGTAGAAATATTCTGACGATCTCTTTATCTCCAGAACTCTACTGACTATAACTTATAATCTGCTTGGTAGGAAGGAAGAGTACGAGGAACAAAATGAAAGGGATGGATAGAGTTTTCATCATCTGGTAGAAATGTAGAAGCAAAGGGAGAGGGAAAGAAGAGATCCACCAAAGCGTCTCTCCACTTTTAGGAGGGAAAGGTTACCCACCAGCCACCAATTTTTTCTTCTGGGAACACCCTGTCCTTCAACTAACGCCTTCCTGTAATACATGGTTTTCCTTCCTCCTCTTTCTTCCATGTCAACCAAAGCCCTCCAAACGACCTAAGTGATAGGTAAGGCAGCTTTCTAAACTGAAGGATACCTTTTCAATCCATCTTACCGTTACTTCCTTCTGTATTTTATCCTCATCAAATCTTTCATAGTCACCCTAGATGGAGACTAAAGACAAGTAATAGATAGTCGGCTAAGATGGTAAGATCACATGCAAGAAAAACCAATGACTACAGAACATGGATCCATATTTTAGCTCCAGTGGAAGATATTCCAACTTTGACATGGGGGAATGCCTTCTTCAATTGAATTCATCTTCAACGATTTGGGTTCTTGGATTTTAGGTCTGAAAGTAAGTAAAATATTTTTTGTTCAAATGTTCAATTGAAGCTCTAGAGCTGTGAGATAAACTGTAAAGATCACCACACCGTGAATAGGCATTTTGACTCAATTTCTATAACTAACCTTGAGATTGTACTCAAACGCACTCAACCGCTAGATATTCGTTTAACACCCTTAAAGAGAAATGTATTATCCAATATGATCCTACATACGAAGGGACTGGGTCTTTGGTCCAATAGTACTCTTTACCTTGTGAAAACTTTGTCTTCTTGAGGTCAAGGATTCAAGCCCCTTTCCCCCTCCCCTCTCCCTTCAAAAAAAAAAAAGTTGTACGGATGTGCACTTTTAAAAAAAAAGTAAAAAAAAATATGGAGGGATTGGGAAGCTTAATATTAAATGGGAATCAAATTTGATTCTAAGCACCTTGCTAGGATAAAAAAGTAATTGCCCACTTTTTCTACGTAATGTTTTCGATCGCTGGTGAAGAAAATTGAGATCTAGTTAAGAAATCAAAGCATTGTTACGGTGATGAGAAGAGAGATTCCCCAACTATGGATCAAGATTTCATTTTGTTTCCGTCGAAACGAGCGAAACACTTCAGTTTTGGGAGAAATTGCAATGAATTGGTGACTTGTATAAAAAATTCCAATGTTTTAGAGTGTTTCAAAACGTTTCAGGAAGTTTTGGAAGGTCTCGGTCTAAGTTTTAGAATTAAAATTTCATACTTTTTTAATCTATTCTCATTTTGTTTCCAATATGTTTTCCATTTCTTAATAAAACTAGTCACCGAATTGAAATTTTGATTTTTATCCCTCAATTATATAAACCCACTTTGGATGACCCTAATTTTTCAATAGAAAATAAAATCTCTACTTATAGCATCACTCACGTGGGATCCAGGCTAGCACATGGGCTAACTAACAAACATGCATGTAAGAAATTCAAATAGATAAGATACTTGGCCCACTAAACATCCAAGACTTAACTTTGATACCATGTTAAGAGTATCCAACTCAAAACTAATTGACGATAAGGGGAAAAGTCCCTCTATCATATAAATTAAACTTTGCTGGCACTAATATTTCGATGCAAGATACAAGCTCTCTTTACAATCCAATCTTAATAGTATTGTTACGGAGATATTAATATGAAATGATTGACAGTAAAATATTCACTATTTGCAAAAAAATTGGTATCCTTAGAGAAGGCATTATCATGGGTTCCAACTAGTTTTTCTTTATGTAGAAGTGAATGCCCTTATTTTGCCATTTTGTAATGGTCAGCTCCACAATTCCGTAGCATGTAAAAGAAGTTTTAATGTTTTCATAAATTATCTGGAGTCCAAACAGTTATCCTCCACCATAGCATCTGGTATGGATGATATTGCCTGTTTGACTACATTGTTGTTCGGGTATAATGCTCAGGGATAAACTTAGCAAGATCACCAGATCATTTGCCTATAGCTAGAACCTCAAGCACATTTGGTTATATATTTTTCTTCATCAAAACTTGCAATCTTAATATAGGTCAGATATGAGATAGGCACCATTACCAACTGGCTGAACACCTATTCTCCTGAGGGGTTGACCACTTTCAGAAGACTGAGTTGTACTGCCTTCTGAACATGGAATTAGCTGTCCTGCAAATAAAGTGCAACAAATGATAGTTCAGAGAGGAACATATTAACCTGCAAGTAAGTAATCATGATATGTTATAAAGAATCACAGAACTTTGTAATTTCATGTGCAGGAATCAGTAATGAGAGACAAAAATTTACAGAGAGAGAGAGAGAGAGAGAGAGAGATCCAGGTTTGAAATCCTATAAGAATCAAACTGAATATCTGGAATAGTTTTACTTGGCAGTTGGCACAGAGCTACAGTAGGAAATCAGTCTCTTAGCAGTGCATAAGCAATTTGAGAGATCAAAACTGAAGGATTCTTTGCATAAATGACCAAAAGAGTTAATGCCAGCAATTTGAATAAACATTAAACTAGTTACTGCCTAAAGGATAACAAATAAAATAGGAAACAGAACCTATAAGGTGGAGAACTAATTCAGATCAAATGCCAAACACATATTAACCAAGCTATGTATCTAATGTAAGAACATCAACACAATAAGACATGACTACTCCCAAGCATAGCCACTCATAAGTATAGAGATGTTCCTTGTTATGGACCTGCTAAAAGATGGGAAGTGTGTTTGTATCACGAGGTTAGTGATATGGCAAAAACAATGATCTCAGTACCCAAACAAAAACAATGCACTTGATTTGAGAAGAAAATATATGTTTTCAGCAATTCAGGCATCAATTGCATTTGCCAAGCATGTCTTTGGGGTGGCCTTAAATAATGAAACCTAGATTGCTGAGTATCTGCACTGTATCAGAGAAATAAGAAAATTGCTGGAAGACATTAAGAGAAATTTGTGGCAGCTTAAAATTCTTTTCAAGTGGGGCATGAATTTACAAAGGCCAATAGGGTTGGAGCTTAAATCTAAGAATTCTCCAGTCAAAGAGCTTGCATCCAACTGTCAACGAGCAACCCCTTTTCCAAATGAGTGCCCCAGCTTTGCTCCTCCTCTGTTCTTCCGGGATTGGAATACAGAAGTTGAGTTCATGTTCCTATAACCAAAAGCAAGGATACTATAATCCAAATGGGTCCATATATCTACAGCAAATCAGCACTTATGGCATCATTTTTTAAGAATTTGAATATAATATCTTCATTGTTAAGACCACTAGACCATTGATTAACTTCATCTCCTTTCTTTCTTTTCCTACTCTTTTCCCTCCCTTTCGGTGGCGGAGTATTCATTGGTGGCCACAGAATCAGCATAAGAACATGTAGATTAACTTTGTCCCCACTAGATTATGTTTACTCTTTGATTCCAGACTCCCAGAGCGTAATCTCAATTTGTTGATGGCATCAGGTGTAGAGTATCCCATAGAGGGATCCACTTTGAAGTAGCATGTTGAAGATATACCTGAACTTTTATATCAAGAAACACAGCCATTCCAAGGAAGCTTAGGCAAGTTAAGGATAAAATTTCTGATCAAATGGACCAGAAATTGAAATGAGAAGTTTCTTATCAACTAAACATTTTGACCTCAGGCGAAGAAAAATGTAAGCCAAAAAACAGCAAAAGGCAAAGAATATGTGTTTATGTCACTGACAAAAGTGCTCAAACAACAAAATAGTAGCCAATGGAGTAGCATCTCTCCCTGTTTGCAGCATTCCATATTTTACAGCCAGGACACTGCCTCTTAGAAAATCGGTGTATCTTATGCATGAACAGTCATGCAAGTGGTCATCTGCAAATCAAAGGAGTAATACCCACCATGGTTTACAAAAATACATGGTTGGTCCAAAAAACATGACCAATGCAATCAATCCTGTCCTGAAGTTCTGCAGATAATCAACACATCAGAACTTAGTGGCAGAGATTGAAATTACAGCCCCTAGTGGCACTGTGTCAATCATAGAGAATTGACCACAAGTGGGAGTTACTAAAGAGTCAGGTCAGAATTAACTCTCATCCAAAATAGTAATTAACTCAATTCTCATACAAGTTAGAAGCCGGTAATGTTACAAGAACTCGTTACATAGAACACGGAACCCATGTCATCAGCTCATTCTTATCTATTGAGAAGGAAACAATGAGAAGTTATGTGAGATAGCTTCCAGATATGTCTCATATGTTCTTACCTTTTTTTTGGGGTTCGAACTTAAAACCATTTTCTTCTATGTGGTTAACCAATTGATTACAATTATGTTTGACTACCCCGTTAATGTCAATAATGGTAGCATCGCTACAAGTATCTAATATCTCCTGGTTCTGTATTTATGGGAAAGTTTGAACAGCAGATACTTCTAAAGTATTTTACCAGGGTTTGACTAGTTTATCTTCTAATAAAACCCTAAAATGAGGCTGAAATGCAATAGAAACCTAACTTCCTCCCATCGCATTCCAATTTGCTATGGAATAGCTACCAAAACGAGGCTGTAACATATTTCTATTCGACCGTTCACATAACCATACAAAGACTACAAATTGAGGTTCCAACACATTCCAAGTTATGCTCAGACCACCATACCAAACTACATATAATATTTGCAAGAAACATTATGAGATTCCTAAGATTTAAGAAGACAGTGCAAGCACACTGCAAGATGCACACTTGTTGCAAGTTGACTAGTTGTAATGACGATCTAGAGTTGCAAAAATTTAGACAAAGACTAGTTCATCATTGACCCGACACTGAGAGAATGCAAAACTATGATCAAAAGCACTGATACATACTCTACAATTTGAAAGCTCCAGTATGTAATAAGCATGTTAGCAGTAACAATACAGTTAAATTTGCTAAAAGACTTCCTGGATTGTAAATTTACAGACTGCATACCTTCCCACACACACCAAAAGAAAAAGAAATAGAAAAATTCCAATATAGCCTAACTTCGCAACCTCAGATGGAAAGCTACAAAACATAAAGTTTAATATCTTACATTGGTAATACAAGAGGTGGGCAATAATTGGCATGGCTCACCTGGATGATCCTGCTTGGAGGAGCTTTCTCTGTGGCTGAGAAATGATGAATTCATGGAAGATTCTGAAAAAAAGTTCTTTGCATGTTTACTATAACAGTCCTGCAGTTGGTTAGATGTTGGTCGAGTAGAGATCCATGAAGGATTAGCTGGTCCTAATGCCAACCCAGGAAACCCAGTGTGTCCAAGACCAAGGAATCCAGCTGATGTGCCGCTCAATGGCAATGAAGATGGAGCTCGATCACACTGAAAGATTTGATAAGGATCTAAATCTGCAGTTCTTGCGTCCTTTCTACCTGCAAAACCTGAAATCCTATTGCTGGGCACGAAAAAAGTATTCCGTACATCACGTTGTAGTGATTGTATATTGCGTAATGAAGTTGAACTTAGCCCAGGATTGGCACTATGTATGACCCCAGCATCATTGTGAGATGAGGTCCAGTCATCCACAGTGTACACCGGACTTGAATGGTCAGCAGCCAAGTTGTGGCCCATACTTGAGGAATTTCTAATAGTCTGTTGAACATGGGGAGTACTGAAGTCCAGAGAAACAGTTTCTTCAAGTTTACTAGCAATCTGTCGTGTGTCAAATTTAGATTTAGATCTGGTCTCTGTCTTGCCTCCAATTCTAGTAGTTTGTTGAACCTGGGAATTGCAGAAATGTGGAGATGTTTCATTTAGTTTTCTAGCAATCTCCCAGCTATCGAATTCAGGTTTGGATCTGGTTTCCTTCCTATCTCCAATTCCAAGGGTCAGGAAACTTCCATCAATGCCTTCTAGACAACTGACTTGAACTTCGCTGACCTTGACATTATTATCAGTTCCAATTTCCCCAAAATTATGTGTATGGTACAACATAGGTGTGCTACATCCTATGTCAACAAAGTTTCTGTTGATCTGTGGCTCGTTTGTAGAACCAATTTCTGCTTCTCCACCCTGTCCGCTCATTTGATAAGTTCCAGCTGCAATACTACTCATTGGCATGAATCTTCTATTCATCTGAGGGCTCCGGAAGCTACCTAAATGGTGCCCACCAATCATCTCATTCTCATAAGTTACCATATTGTCATGATTGACTGGTTGATGCATCTCTCTCAGGTTCTCTACAGGAGGTGAAATATCCGATCCTCTGACGAATCTAGGAAAGTTATACCTGGGGTTTATAGTATTTGGGTCGATCGGAGCATTTTGCAAGCTATTAACCTTCATGAAGTCAGCCATCAAATTGCCACCTGTCTCACGAATGTCATGTGCGTAAGACTGATAATGAGGACCGTCTGGCAAAGGCATATAGGGGAAGGACATACAATCAGCTCCAACACTATTACTATTGTGAAAAATCTTACTCCAGTCAGCAGCTTCAGTCGGCTCAATATCCTCAGTGTTTGGCTTGTCACTTCCCATTAGATACTCAATCCTGGATGTACAATAAGGTGAGAAGCATCAATCAAGGAGAGATTACAATTCATAGGGCCACGTAGGTTGATGAGGAGCTATTGGAGCAAATTACTACATGAAAAAAAATTAACTTCTTCAAAATTTCAATTTGTAACTGATCTATGAATTGTGCACTTGTAGTCGAATATTGTTCAGTCAATAAGCTGTAAATACACATATATCTCAACAAACAAATGCTAAACTATTAAGGCACTTTTTAATCAGATAAACATTTTATTAAGGAAAGAATACTTATATGGAGGATGTGTAATCCACCAAAGAAAATGTCAATATAATATTACAGATTTAAAGATGGATTTGCAATCCGCCCTAATAGAAAAAAAAAAAAGAAATTCTCTCCAAATCAGAGAACACTAAAACCCAAAAAGATGACAAGAAAAGAAATCTTTCCCAAAGACCATCATCCACTTGCTCAACCTTGTCTTGAAAAATTCTTGCATTTCTTTCTCAACTAAATAAAAAACTTTCTTACACTCATGATTTGAGATTCTTTCGGCCCTCTTTTTAAAAAGCTAGCTGCATAGCGAACACAACCATGATCACATCCACAAGAAACAGAATTAACTCCTAGTGCAGTCCAGTTGAATGGGAAAAACCAGACCCGAGATAGAAAAGATCAATCAACAAGCATTCAACAAATTAATTATCAGAACCCAGAAATCTAATACCCAATTTCCGAAACTCCCTCAAAACCCCAGTGAAAACTAAATAAAATAGAATTACCCAGTGGATACGTAACCCAAAGAAGAAAACGATCTCAACCCGATACTGACGCAAACAAATGCGAGTGACTATTTTATCGATGTTGCAAGTCTCAATACACAGCAAATCACAAAAATTCTAGATTGATTATCTCAATACCATTGAATGACAAAAACACGAAATATAAAAAACTAAAATGCATCATCTACGGAACTACGTACAATAAGATTGCATCGGCATGGCTCTGAATCATCAATTAATGCTATCAAGCAATGAAACACAAAGGGCTCAAATACAATAAAAATAGTTGCTTCTATAAATTCACCCTCTCTTTATACGAATCTTGAAATCCACAGTGATCTTTCGGGGTTTTTGAAAGTTTCTTACCAGTGTGAGGATTTTGATCGCAGAGCACACTGAACCGAGTTCAGAGAGAGAGAGAGAGAGAGGTGGGGTTTTTTTTTGGCGCTTAGGGCTATGTGTGAGACTTTTAAAGTGTTCGGCGTGGGACCACGTGGCTTGGAGGATATACACGTGTGAGTCAAGGGGCCCTTTGGAGCATGAAGCTCTCAGCTGACGTGTCATAGCTTCGTCACAAGTTAACGGTGAGGCTTTGGTGTGTGACGGGCCAATGACGGTACGCGCTGATGGTGTTTTCGTCATTTCATTCAAATACGAGGACCATTTTGGAATTCATCATTATTGTCGTAAACAACATGGCGTGCTAAGAACGCGAAGCCAAAGAGACCGAGTCTTTGGCACGTGGGTTAAGCTTGACGCGCTCACTGAAGCCAAGCTAATGGGGCCATCTTGTACTTGAGGAACCACAGGCTTCACCCAGCTAGAAAGCCACCATCTTGAGGGTACTATGATGTTCCCGTTGTGCAGTGAGATATCGAAATTTATTTAATTTTTAAGAGTGGTTAAGTCTGTCTTTTTATTTATAAAAAGTCATAGGTTCAATACTTTTTATACTTCTTAAGGTCACTCATCATTGTTCCTTAGGAGGCATGTCCTTAAATTAGTTCAAGTTACGATAACTAATTCAGAACTAGAGAGAATAATCAACTCAAGTCTACCCTGTAACAAAAAAAAAAAGAATCGACATTTATTTAGAATAACGTATAGACATATTCCTTGAACAAATTTAATGAGCTAACGAAATTTGTTAAAGTTAAATCAAAACTCATTGATTATGTATCGATTTTATTTCGAGTTCGGGTAATAGCTAGAATTGGTAGGACTCTTAAGTGCGGGACTGAGTCATACCCACCATAGTTGTTCGTCTTTCCATGTTATGACAATGGTTTACGGTCTCTCTTAGAAAGAAAGATAAAGCATAATTAAAAAAAAAACTACCAAGTGAGACAAAGATCTTGTTTGATCCCACTAACAAAACCACTAAAAATAGAGCCAGAATCGGACATTCATCAATGATATATGAGATGGATTGCACTAATCTAAATTTGATGACCTTGGTTGTTTGGTTACCAAAAATGTTTGAGAAAAAAGAGAGAAGAATAGACTTTGATCTTCATGTGCTATGCTGTTTTGGCTTCTATGACTTGGAAAAAAAACCCACTTCTATTAAAAACAAGTGTGCGTACAGGATCTTGCACAATATAAAAAAACGAGAACAGATCTCTCCCTTGGTGAACTCGAGTGGGTCAGTTGAGTGATCAACAACGCTGCTTGGGACAGCCTGTGAGGTCCGGTGATAACCTGAAACGGTAACGAGAGACCCTCGTGAATTGAAGGAATGAACCAGTAAGGCTGGGGAAAGGATCCTGGAACAAAGGAGAACAAGTTAGAAGGGCACCGGAGTGTTTTCCGGCTTATCCCCTCCGACGATCAAGTCAGTTTTTGAAAAAGAGAGGAAGAGGAAAGCACTGAGTATATTTCGTAGTCAAGAGTTTTTGTTGCATACCGTTTTGCCTTTTATGAGGAGTATTTATACCTCAAAAGTTCATGATTGTTGTCAGTGTTGTCAGTAGATGATCATTAGGTACAGACAATGTGCGCACTGATTCTGATGAGGAATGTCTTCCTTTCTTTAACTGCTCGGGGTGCNGTGAGACAAAGATCTTGTTTGATCCCACTAACAAAACCACTAAAAATAGAGCCAGAATCGGACATTCATCAATGATATATGAGATGGATTGCACTAATCTAAATTTGATGACCTTGGTTGTTTGGTTACCAAAAATGTTTGAGAAAAAAGAGAGAAGAATAGACTTTGATCTTCATGTGCTATGCTGTTTTGGCTTCTATGACTTGGAAAAAAAACCCACTTCTATTAAAAACAAGTGTGCGTACAGGATCTTGCACAATATAAAAAAACGAGAACAGATCTCTCCCTTGGTGAACTCGAGTGGGTCAGTTGAGTGATCAACAACGCTGCTTGGGACAGCCTGTGAGGTCCGGTGATAACCTGAAACGGTAACGAGAGACCCTCGTGAATTGAAGGAATGAACCAGTAAGGCTGGGGAAAGGATCCTGGAACAAAGGAGAACAAGTTAGAAGGGCACCGGAGTGTTTTCCGGCTTATCCCCTCCGACGATCAAGTCAGTTTTTGAAAAAGAGAGGAAGAGGAAAGCACTGAGTATATTTCGTAGTCAAGAGTTTTTGTTGCATACCGTTTTGCCTTTTATGAGGAGTATTTATACCTCAAAAGTTCATGATTGTTGTCAGTGTTGTCAGTAGATGATCATTAGGTACAGGCAGTGTGCGCACTGATTCTGATGAGGAATGTCTTCCTTTCTTTAACTGCTCGGGGTGCCGAGCAATCAATGTTGTGTCATCGGGCTGCCGACTGTCTAATGATCTCCACTCGGGGAGGATGCAATAAATGTCCAGCCTTAGAGACATTTATTGTCTTTCAATTCCGAG